TAGCCGCCAGACCCCCTCGCTGGAGAAAAAAGACCCGGCCGCATGGAAGGAGACCGCCGCCCACCCGCCGCCGCACTGGAGTCCTTTCCAACTGCCAAAAAAGGTAAAAATTTTCACTTTTACTTGGAATTTAATTCTAAACACACTCATAGCCAAATCGGAGCAAAAAGACCGACCAATTGGCCAGAAAACGCATGCGAAGCCTGGCACCGCTGCCGCAAGGAATACCACAAAACACCTCCGATGAGGCTCTTCCCCATTCCCGTTCTGTGTAATTATTCTACCGTGTCCTTCTCTACAGGCTGACTGGAGCAAAACACCTAACCGCAACGTGAGTCGAAAGAGCCGCCGCACCGGAGAGACCCACCGCCGGTGAGTTTCGATTTTTTGTATTTTTTCGGCCAATTGAGACCTTTTAACGTGTTTTCTTGCAGGAATTAATGCAGAATCGGCCGAAAATAACCGACCCAAGGCGGACTGCCACCGTGAGCGGCGGTGCCATCGCTGGAGCACGGTGGAGCCGCCGTGCTGGAATTCCGAAATTGGTCAAGTAGGCCTTGGAACTAATTTTGGGTTTGTTTAGGACATTTATAGGTATCATTAGCGCGTTTTAATTCCCGAAAAAAAATTCAGAAAACCCGAAAATTGCCCGTAGGCACAGTCGAACAACTTAGCTTTTTGGATATCAAATCGAGTAAAGATCCATCACCTTATTCTCTATCATAGAATTGAAATATAAATAAATAATAATACGATACTTTGTGTGAATTTAGAAAATGTACACAATTAATTACGGATTGTTAATGGAGTCAGAATCGGAAATTATCTGTTGTTGTTGTTGATTGTTTTTATAGTTTATATGCATGATGGTATCTTATTAATTTATTTTATAGTTTTGAATGCATATATGGTTTATTCTATGTGTTTACGGCTAAATTAGGAAAAAAGAAGGTTTAACAGTAAAAAATTGTGTGATTAAGTGAATGGATGAAACAACAGTCTTACTGGATATCCTGAGAGATGGTGGACAGACCGGATACATAGGGAACCCTACCGTGAACGTTGTCTCATGCCGGACGAGGTATCGAGACTTGATAATTTAGCGCTCATACCGGACGGAGTATGGGAACGACCCGCTTCACCCTCATACCGGACGGATTATTGAGATTTTGTAATTTGACGTTCATACCGGACGAGGTATGGGGACGGCCCGTAATGGAGAATATTAAAGGAACTAAATTTAGTGCTCCACTAGTGGTTTTTTATTTTCTACCAACCTTTATTTTTGTGTCGGTGATATAGTGTGATGTCCTTACTGGGTTAGTGTAGTTCATTCCTTATTTAATCATTTCAGATCAAGATAACCAAGTTCCAAAACCCGAACCGCAAGAAAATTGCGAGTAGATGCTAGTTTTCTTTATTTTCCGTTTATTTCCTTATTTCTTATATTTTTTTTAAAGACTAAATTCCGCAACCCCATTTGGTTTTTTAAGTTATTGTGTAGGGAATATAAATCTTGAACATTTATTACGCTTCCGCACTTAAGTTATAATTTATTTCATTTGGATATTTGTGGGGTCGCTACATTAACTAATTAAATAATAAACTAATAAAATAATTAAATAATAAACTCTCGTATTCAACACTATTTCATCTAAGACTTCAAAAAAAAATCAAGAGATATCCTATCATCAAATAGCTACCTTAGTACATCATGTTAATATTCTTCTGTTATATTTATTGTAATTTTTATATTTATTTCTTGAAGTCTGGGATGGATTGGTAAGCACCAACTTCTTTAAATACCTGAACAAGGTAGGAGAGAAACAAATATTTTCTACTTGATATAGGTTTACAGATCTGGATTAAAGTGTTAAAATTAAACAGCAAAGTACAATTTTATCCCTTTTAATTTGACCTAATTATGACTAAAATTAGGGAGGGAACCCAAAAAGATTAAAAAAAATAATGGCTTAAAACGAATTATTTTATATATGAAAATAAATTAACCAATAACTGGTACTGAACTGTCACAGCTATACATTGAAACAAGATTTGTAGCACCCACAGATACCTACATGGAATGCTGAAAAAATCCATTCTCTTTGACATCCTACGGAAGCTGAACAGGTATAAACATTCCATTCAATCAAAAGTTGTCAGAGGATAGGTTGATCTGATCATTTTAGAAGGACAGACTACTATCAAAAAAAGGATTAGAAGGACAGACATTATTATGCAAAAACAGGATATTATCAAGTACTGGAATGGTGATACAGAACTAAACAAGCCACTTCAACTCAAATAACTACTGACCAACCAGCCATACGGAAGAAAATTTGGAATTCAGTTATTCCTTAAAAATTAGTTTGCTTTCATGGAAATCTTGCAACATGTCCCACCCACTAAAGAAAACTTGGCAAAGAAAAGAACTAGTTTTGATTGCATTTGTCTTGTTTGTGGTGATGCACCTGAAACTGTAGGACATGCTTTACGAGATTATAGATTTGTATCAACCGTATGGAATTATGCTGAAAGATGTGAGAACCTATTTTTCAAATCTTGGTGGCTTTCATGTATTCTTGATACAAAAGTGGAGTATAATAAGTTGTTTGTAGTTTTTGCATGTGCAATTTGGCGGGCTAGAAAATTAACACCCTTTGGTAATATGCCTTCAATTCCAACAGTTATCTTGAAGCTAGTAATTTCTTGTTAGAATATCAAACTGTTGTTTCTCTTATGGTAAGTGAGGTACCTACAACACCAGCACCCCAAAGACAACAGCATGGAGCACCACCTAATGGTACTATTTTTAAAATCAATACAGACACGTTACTAGTACATCTTGGTTGTCTGGGATAAGGTGTTTTAGGGAGAAATGATGAACGACTCCAACTGTTTCATGCATGTGAGGTCAAAACAGGTTCTTACATGCCAAGGGTTGGGAAGGTAATGGTAGAACGTTTTGGGATGAGAACCGTGTTGGAGATGGGTCTCTCTGTGTTGTGCTCAAAACAGACTGCAAAGCTATCATGGACAATATCAAGTATGGTCATGACAGATTCATTTTAGATATTGGCATGCTTCTGGAAGATATAAAGCTACTAAGTCTATGCTTTAGGAATATTGCTTTTACTTTTGGTCCTAGAAATTGTAGTTTATTGCAAAAAATGCAAACAATGGCATTGTCTTCTGTACTGAATTAAGACTCTTCCTTTAGAGATTTGGAGATCTGTATGGTCAACTTAATGTCACCAAGTATTTTATATTTGAATAAAACTTCAATGTGTTCTCAAGAAAAAAAATATGTATGCCAAAATAAATCAGAAGGATTGAACTTTACTTATCCCAAAATAATCACAAGGATGGAAGTGCAATTTGCCCAAAATTGATACTCCTATGATTTTCAGGTGGACTCTTTAACTGTTGTCATTGCTCACAAAAATCTTCAAAAACCAATAAGTTCCACACCAATTTTCAGAAGTTGTAGCAAAAATTAGAAATATTAAAGCTGACCTAAACTTTTGAAATACCATGACAATTAAAAGGAGAATGACGCTAAATCCCTCAAGTATGGTTTAATATGCACTTACCTCTTAAAGTACAATAATACACTTATACCCCGAAGTTACTAGAATATGCTAATTTAATTAAAAATACCCAAATACACTCAACTATTTTAACACCAAAATATCACATCTTTTTTACATTTTAGATTACAGAATTAACCTATTGCACAATAAATAAATAAAATTTTAGTATAGATAAGACATATAGATATATGAAATAATATACTCTTAATGTTGAAAATAATAGTAATTTAAATTTTTTTGTTAAATAACATAAAATGTTAACATATTAAATATTAAAAAATAAGAGTTTTCTGGGATGGATTGCTTAAGAGGCAAAAGAGGAACATGGTCCCCCCAAATTTTTTGAAATTTTGTTATGTTATATAAAATCTATATAATACACTACAATTATCTTTTTAAAATTTAATTAGAATATAATATAAAGACCATAAAAATTCTTAACAAATTTTTCATTCAAATTTTCAATTAACTAATGAAATGAAGGAACTTTTAATATTTTATCTCATATTTATTTCTTTTTACTGTTAAAAAAGTAAAAAATAAAACACACAAAAGTTTCTCTAGAATTTTCCTACATGCTAACTCTATTTATAAGAAACAAAAAGATTGCAATTGCTTTTTGTCTTTTACATGCAAAAAAATATAAGAAACCCACTCATTTGTAGAGTTTTTATCACTTCCTCATTCAAAACTAAAAATATTTTAAGTGACTCTTACTCTTCTGATTCTCCTCTAGGCACAAAACTATCTTCCTATTTTTTAAAACCAAAATTTATTGATAAATTGTAGTTTTAGTTAATTACTGCATTCAAGATAATAACTCTCGATATTTAAATGAACTAAATTTGATGAGAACTTCTTGAAAATTGTTTCACTGACTATTACATACAGGTATGGAGCTTCAACCTTATCCTCCCTAAAACTAAAAGAGTATATAATATTTGCATAGTAATTAAGAAGGAAAAATGCAATGAAGATTTAATGTACTGCAGGGCTTTTCACCTCTGCACCCATACCGCTCTCATGACTGTTATTTTCTTTCATAGCAAAATTTGTATCTTATCCCCACTTTAAAATTTACTCTGGCTTTCTGAAATTATATTTGATGTCTAGTTATTAATATTTGCCTTTAAATTTAACACACATATATAACTCTTATACATCAGGGTAAATCAATAAATAACTAAATCTTTATTTTTCTTCAATTTTTCAGTATGACATAGATACCTAATAATTAAATTCTAAACATAAAAAATTATAATACTTTAAAATAAATTTAAAATATTTTTAGTTATCTATATATAATAATATTAAGTTTATTAAAAAATTTTAATTATTTAATATTAATAAAAATATATAAGTTATAAAATAAAATCAAATGTTAAAGACATATAAATATAAAAGAAAATGGTATTGGAGTTATTTTATAAAAGTATATTAAGGTGTTAAGTTCAGTTGGCTAAAATGAGAAGTAAATGTAAAATTTTTTTGTAACAAAGGATAATCAAAACGCAAGCGGTAACTCTAGAATATGTTAAAACTATAGGGTGCATTTGTAATTTAACCTAGTTAAAACAGATTATACGCCCCAAAAATTGGAAATAGGAAGATCATATTTTCAATTAGATCATATGAATTCTCTTGTAGGATGTTAAAATTGACGGAAAGTTCATACTCTCAGGTTCTTACTTGATATATTTAACCTAAGCAGTAGACTTACAAAACTAAATTATTTAGTATAAAATGCAGAGAAGACGAAATGGAAGCAAGAGGAACTCACAAGAACTCACTACCAGCAATCCTCGCCTCCGCCTCTCGAACACATTGGAGCACAACAGGTTTGCCATCATCATCTCTGTAAGCTCCCTATGAGTTTCAAGGAATCAAAATACAATAACAAACGGAGATTCTTAAAATCTACAAGTAACAGCTAAGAAATTCAATACCACGCCGAGATTGATCTTATTAGGCGAAGAATCGGCAAGGAATGTCTCGGTGACACCGACAATCGGGTCCTTGAGAGCAG